ACGAACCTGTTCAGAGGCACGAAAAGACAAAGCGGTTGGCATAGTAAGTGTTTTCAACGGTCTGGTAATGGTACATGTAGTTTTACAGATTCTAGAATCAGTTTGGACAGAAACCTGCGAGGATACTGGAATGATACGATTAGCGTTGAGTCTCAGATGAGTAGGACTATCTACTGGCAAAGACAAGAATGGCTGCCTGTTGACAAGGAGTTGTACAGGGGATACCGGTGACATATTATCTGTGTCGGGCTGCACTATTGTTGTTGGTGTTAGCGGAGATGGCGAAGGAAGAGACGAGATATGCGATTCTCCGGAAGAAACATGTGAGTCCTGTAAAGAACTGGATCTAAACTAAAGTACCTTGGGTATAGGTCCTGTTGACATTTGCTGTGAATTTGTCTTTGCGATGTTATCACTTTCCTTGGCGACTATGGCGTCCAGTTCTTGTCTGAAAATAAACCATAGTTTTAAAAGCGTGACATTTAAATAAAAACATTTCACACTCCAGGGTCCCCATATAGGCGTGAACTAGTGTTTTAGAAAACATTTTCAACATGTTATGACTGACGTCCCTTTAACAGAAACAAGAGGCTCTTAAGAGCCTGTGTCGCTCACCTGTATTTAGCATGTAAGGTTAAAATCAAAATAAATATTATTAGATACCCAAGTAATGATTGAGACCAGCTTTGAGTTAATTTGGCCCAGTAGTTAAATTAAAAGCATGTTATCCAAGTGAAGTCTTACAAAAGTTACTGAAGACTCCTTATCATTATCTAAATTAGTGTTCAAGTTGTGACTATTTGAAATTGTTTTTTTAACAATTTCCCCGTAGACTTCTATAGTAAACCCCTATGTTCTTTTTTTAGCCATGGCGGCCATGTTGGTTGGTAGGTGAGGTTATCGGACAAATTTATAAACTAGATAGCCTAATGATGATTATGGCCAAGAAAGGTTTAATTTGTATCAGTTGTATCAGAGAAAAGATTTTTGTAAAAGATTACAAAATTTTACCAAAAAATTGTTAAAAATTGACTATAAAGGGCAATAACTCCTTAAGGGGTCAATTGATCATTTTGACTCTTTTGACTTATTTGTAGATCTAACATTGCTGTACATTATTGCTGTTTACAGTTTCTCTCCATCTATAAAAATATTCAAGATAATAACCAAAAACTGCAAAATTTCCTTAAAATTACTAATTAAGGGGCAGCAACCCAACAACAGATTGTCTGATTCGTCTAAAAATTTCAGGGAATATAGATCTTAACTTGATAAACATTTTAATCCCTTGAAATATACTCCAAATGCTTTAGTTTTTAGATATATAAGCCAAAAATTGCATTTACCCCCCCCCCCCCCCCCCTCTATGTTCTATTTTTTGCCATGGCGGCCATGTTGGTTGGCAGGCGGGATCGTCGGACACATATTTTAAACTACATACCCGAATGATGATTGGCCAATTTTTGTTAACTTTGTATCAGTAGTTTCAGAGGGGAAAAGTTTTGTAAAAGTTAACGGACGACGACGACGACGGACGACGACGGACGCCAAGTGATGAGAACAGCTCACTTGGCCTTTCAGGATAGTTGCGCTAAAAATACGGGAACCCCCATTACCACCACCTTGTTGGGTGTAAGCCATGGATTAGCCATTGGACTGTTCGTCAATTAATCATTACAACTCAATCGTGTTTGAAATTCTTTTAAATTGCCATGGTTGGCCCGTCAGAACGGAGGGTTTTTTTTTACTGGTCCATAAACACTGGAGATCGTGCGGTGAATTATAATTGAAAAGTTTTTAATGTCTTCGTTCCCTTATTATCTAAATTAATTTTTACCACTTGCTTTTTTCTTTTGTGTACAAGCAATGTCTTTTTATACGTTACATGGGCTGGTTGTTTGGTGCTTTTCTGGTACAATTACCTTATACTTGTTCCTATGAAACCAATGTGGTAGATATCCCTATAGTTTGATAATGATACTATATTGTCATGTTGTGCAATTTCGTGTGCGTGCTTATATATATTTTTTTAACACTGCAACCAGTGTGTTACGATATTTATCATCTCTAGAAAGTTAAATTTTGATATTTAAAGCGCGAGGCTCTTTGAATTATTAAAATTTAACTGTTGAGAGTGGAGAAATATCGTAAAACACGAGTTATAGTGTTGGAATCGGTTTCTCTTCTGACCTTTATATCCTTCCCTTTCAAAGATTTCCAGAAAGTTGTGGTCTATAATATAATATGTGACATCATCAGGTATAGTCGCCTTTTTTTCATAACATCACTATAGCAAATTCAGGAGAAACGAAGAAAACATGACATCATAATTAAGTTTCGACCAATCGTTTGCCGAGAACAGATATTTCACTAGTGAAGAGAAATATTTTCTCAAACAAATCAAACAATATGAAAATCAGCTCAAATCAATCGACGTACGTTTGCCCGTAGGCGAAGTTTTAGACATTTTAACCGTGTTGTGAGAAGGTATTATGTCTATGTAGAGCATGTTATTCGGTTACTCAAACTTTTTAGAGTTTTTGGAACTTTGAACAGACATCATAGGGATACTTTAAGTAGGATTGTTTGTTTGTGTGCAGCTCTTGCGGCCCGAAGAACCAATTTGTTCATTTAATCTTATATTGGGTTTATTAGTATTATATAGGTATGTGACTTTTTATATACGATTAACTTTTCTTATTGTATGTTTTGCATTGAAAAAATATCTTCATCGGGACCAACCTGGCTTAATATATCCTTTCCTCATATACGTGTTATACGATACGTCGATACGGATATGGGGCTATCCTAAGTGACACCACACTCCAAGTAACTAGATGCTTTTAGTATTGGAGCGTGAAATTTCAGTTCGCATATCCATACTCTCAAGATTGTTACCATTGAAGCAAATCCCTATCCGTCCATCATACCTTATGAACTATTAATCCCAAAACTCGCAAAAAACAAAAACCCCAAACTAACCAAAACTAATTCCTTTAATATATATGAAAGACAAAACCATGAAATTTATAGTCGTTTTCTTCGTAAACTGTAACGCTTAATCTGATAATCATTATATGCCGTATTGTCTGATAATTGTCTCATTGCCAATTACTCCACATTTATTAACATCAGTAAGTAAATAAATACAAAATCAACAAATTCAAATTTATTCATATACAAATATTCAGCAAACGTTAAATACAGTACACTGAAAAACTATTTTAATGCAAATAACACACTCTTGAAAAATGAGAAGTTAGAGAAATGCTGAAGGCAATTTTCCAACGCAAACGTTAAATACAATACACTGAAAACTATTTGAATACAAATAACACACTCTTGAAAAATGAGAAGTTAGAGAAATGCTGAAGGCAAATTGGTTGTGTCACCCACTTTGTCAAATACTCTCTCCGCAGTTTGAGGTGAACGAGCAATTTCCTTAAATAGGGAACCTACAGAGTTGTCTACAAAATTGTTTATCCTAGAGTATCTATCATAACTTTTTTGGGAGAACCAGCCTACATGATTCATAATCTCCTTAGTGTTTCCAGAACCAGACACAGCCAAGGAGATGGCACATCCACCACGCAATGAGTGCGGGGTTTCACCTTCATCGATATCAAGTTTTTTCAAATAATATTTTAACCTACTATACATAACTGAATGGGTTACTGGAGATGCAAGTACTTGTTTTTTCCTATGATCCAATACTCTGAATAAATATCCAACAGATAAGTCTACATTCATTTCCTTAGCGCCAGAAACATACTTTTCAAGAGAAAAGACTGGACAGACAGAATGATCCTCCATTCTCATAATTCTAAATTCGTTTATTCTTCCATTCACAAGAGTTTTTCCGATAGTATGCATAATAAGAAACCCTGAATTGTCTTTTAGACGTTTAACCTCTTGAGCGAGACAATGACTCAACTCGGACGCTCTATCTCCCCCAAAAAATTGGAGTTTCAAGAATGCTTGATCTCTTAGTAACACAAACTTTTTCGCAGAATCATTTTCCATTACCAACTGAGAGTCAATAAACCGAGTAATTTTAGTTAACTTCTCAAAAAATAATGGCTTTGCTTGTGTAACCACTCTGAGAAATTGCTTGTTCTTGCTTAATAGCGCCTAAATATTTTAAAATTTTAGCACTAGACGCTGGGTTACCAAACATCAAATCGTCATTCCATTTATCTCCCCTTCCATAGCTTTTGAAAATTGATTTTAAGGTAAGTCATTTGAATACCACCGCGCATAAAACTTGCGCAACTACGATCCGAAGACTGTCAGATGTTGAAATATTATTTGGGGATTGATTTATGAAAATATGTTTTTTCACTATTAAAGAGGTAATTTATTTATTAATAAATGATCAAAAACTTAATCATTATTTTATAAAGATCCTTTTCCAACGCATTTTATATTTACGACTTTCTACCGGAAACTCGAAATTCTTCAGCGTCGATCAACCGGAAAATGTAAATATCAACACTCCAACGATTTGAAATGGTATTTTTAAAATTTAAAAAGGGTAAATTTTCGACAAACAAATTAATAAGCAAATCTGCGTCGTTTATGAAAATCAGACATCAGAAAAGTCAGAGTAATTCAAATTTGGCATCTGGAATAAGAGAGGAACACGATTATTGTGTTACTGTTAGTGACAATTTAAATGTTATAAAACTTGTATCAAATATCGCCGGAGGCAGAAGTGATGAAGAAGATGAACTTATATATGATAGAACTGATATACTACCAGACAACCTAGTTCCTTTAAATTTTTGTAGATTTATTATTGAAATTGATCTGATTATTCAAGGCCTTGAGTCATGTTCAAATTGTATGAAACCCCTTCATCTGAAGGATTCATTAGGTGTTTTACCAAGAGGGTTAGGAGGATGGCTTTACATAGAATGTAAGCAATGTATTCGAGTTAAGAAAATCCCACTGTCAAAGCGTCATTTTAAAACACCGAGCAAAAAGGGTCCAGGAGTTTTTGATGTAAACACCAAAATTGCAACAGGTACATGAATGGCACTCTGAAAAATTATAACTGTATTTTTGTGTTACTTTTTCATTTTTGTTATATATGTGATCAATAAATGATTTTTTTTCTTCAGGTTTAATTCAGTCATGATTTGAAGATAGAAAAATATTAACATGCATATACATGTAACCCTTTTCTTGGTGGGTCATGGAGAAATTTGGCTTAAACAGTTACCCCATTGTAAATTGTGTTTGACATAAATCTGTTTTAAAGGCCTTAAAATGCAGTACTGTTATATACATGTATGACATTGACAGCCAAAAAGGAAAGGGATATCAGAAATTGATTTTGGTGAACTGATTAAAATGATGCATCCACATGTACATGTCATGCATGTACAATAAAAACAACATAAATAAAGTGGATGTAAGCAATTAAAGGCAACCATAATACCTTCAACAAGGAGAAAAATTTATGTCATGGCATAGTCAGCTATTTAATACCTGACATGAAAAATATAAGACAATTCAATTATGAAGACTATAGACAGACTAATTTAAAACCAAGAAATTGATGAAAAACCTATATGACAGACATGAACCAACAACAACCACTGAACTTGATTGTACAGTCTCCTGACTTTGGACAAGCACATTAAGAATGCTGATGGGTTAATGAGTTCGTGAGTGCTCAATTCCCCTAACAGCTAGGACTGTGCATTGTGAAAGAAACTAGTAAATCAGTTGATTTTCTTTCCTTGCCATGCTGGTTTCCGTGTCAAATGGTGGAATCTGAAGAGAATAGTTTACCATTTGTTTAATCTGTAATTTTAAATTGAACTGATGGAAACCTGAAGAGAATGATGTACAATATGTTTTGCATGGACATTTCAGAGAAGACTGTTGATAATTTTATTTTCATTGGTAAGCATTTTTTGAGATCAGTACATGATATATTTAAACTAGTGTCAAAGATTAAATAATGTAAAATATTTTGTAGATACAGAAGTGCTGTCTACTTAATTAAGGACTGCTTACTAAATTGTTAATTACAATCAGCTTGTTTATTTATGTCAACTGTTTGTAATTCTTTGTTATTAAGCAGCTCCTATAAACACTTTATAAAATTGGAATGGCTCCATGTGTGGCAAAAAATTGTTTGATAAATTAGGTAAAGTATAAATAATATAATAAACAATAACCATGCATAATTACAGCTATTTCATGTACTGATGTCAGAGGTCTTCCAGATTTGTGTTAATTTCATTATACTTTTTCTTTTTCCTATATTTAAAATTTTAAAACACAGACATATTGAAAGAAACATATATGGGTTTGAAATTACAAATTTTAGTAAGATCAGCATAGGAGTTTATATATATATATCTATTAATAAGATTTGTATTGAAAATAAATTAATATTAAACATGTTAAATTACTTGTACACTTTACTCACAAGTTAAACTATTTTTTAAATATAAACCTACTAAATACACTATATACATGTACTTAACATACACAAATTATAATTTATTATATACATGTATTAACTTACATGTACTTTACACTAAGTCTATACACACACCTTATACTTTTTTATACATTTGTTTGCAATACACTTCATGTATATACACAAGTTATACTACTTTTTTGTCATCAGAAGAAGCATTATCAGTGATCTTTAAATCAAATATTTATTGCTGGTACTAAGGAAGTTTGTACTTTAATTCATTTTTAACATGTATAATACAAATCAATGCAATAATTTCATTTTCAACAGGAATGCTTCACGTAGGCCTTGGTGAGACCCAACTTAGTAATCTGTTGGCTTCGGTGAATCTTCACTATTTGAGCGTATCTGGGTTAAAGACGAGAGAAGAAGAAGTTGGGGCAGCATTGGATTCATATGCTGAAGAATCCATGATAAAATATCTAAATATGGAGTCTAATTTACAGGAAAATACTCATGGTTTGTTGTAACTTAGGCATGTTTTTTTGCTCGTTATTCATGGTAATTATCGAGTTTTACAAACTGTCCAGAAATTCTTAAACTATATCATGTCATCTAAGTAGTGGGTAGGAGGCCAATCAGCATCAATTATTAACTTTTGACCCTTACCGTCAATATACACATATTATTTTGGGGTCCTCTTTACAAAAGTGCCAGGTGTAAATTGCAGATTAAAAACAATATAAAAAAAAAAGATATATTATAATTGCCAATGAGACAACTCTCCTCAAGAGACCAAATGACACAGAAATAATAGGTCACAATATGGCCTTTAACAATGAGCAAAGCCCATACCACATTATCAGCTAAGAAAGGCCTTGAAATGACAATGTAAAACAATTCAAACAAGAACAGTGGCAGATCTAGAAATTTTCATAAGTGGGGCCCACTGACGACATAAAAGGGGGCCCACTTCATTCATGATTCAGTGATTCCCTATAAAATCAACCAATTTTTTACCAGAAAAAGGGGGCCCAGGCCCCCTAAGCCCCCCTCAGTAATTCCCTATATAATCAACCAATTTTTACCAGAAAAAGGGGGCCCAGGCCCCCTAAGCCCCCCTCTTAATCTGCCTCTGAAGAAAACTAACAGCCTAATTTATGTACAAAAAAATGAACGAAAAACAAAAATGTAACACCTAAACAAACAACAACCACTGAATGTAAGGCTCCTAATATGGGACAGGCACATACATAAAGAATGTGGCGGGTTTTAACATGTTAGCGGGATCCCAACCCTCCCCTAACCTGGGACAGTGACAGTGGTATAACATAACAATATAAGAACAAGTGGTGTAACAGTACAATATAAGAACGAGGTATAAAAATCAGTTGAAAAAAAGACTTAACTCATCAGATTGATAAAAATACAAATATATATTTACATTGTCTGAAATATAAAATTTATTTGTACTCTCTACAAAAGCCAGAAAAGCTTAACAAGTCTCACTTTTAGTCCAGTTTATACAGCTCATACAAGTTATTTATATTTTTTCTCATAATGTACGAAGTAAATATTGTATATAACTTGGGATCAATTTGCTATTCTGTGCAATTTTTTGTATACATGTTTTTTTTATTTTATCAATAGATTCTGATGACAATGGAGAAAACAAAGGGATTGCAGTTTCCACCGATACCTGTTGGCAAAAAAAAGGCTCCGGGAAATCCTATAATAGTTTGTCTGGTATAGTAACACAATTAACACTATATAAATTAGTATTTGTTATGTTTAAAAAATTGAAGAATATTATTTTGAAGTATCAATTGATGTTCAACTCAAATAATAAGTTTTACACAAATTTTTAGTCATGCTTTGAGATAGTAATTTGATGATTGGTATATAGTCTTATCATGACAAGTTACAGATCAAGTTCAGTTTTGGTTTGGTCTAATGATTTTGTAGAGAGTTATGGTCCTTGTACTTAGGAAATTCACTCACTTAATCAGTTTTCCTCATCTTTTCTTCTTGCTTGAAGATATTTATTTGAAAATTGGTATATAGTTTTATCATGACAAGTTAAATATCAAGTTCGAATTAAGTTCCAGGCTGATTATTTTGTGCAGAGTTATGGTCCTTGGACATAAAAAAATTCACTCAGATAATAAATGTTCAAAATTTTTTTGTTTATCTGTTTTGAATACAATAACTTGATATTTGTTATATAGTTTACACAATGACAAGTTATAGTTCTGGTTAACATTTTGTTCTAGTACAATGTAATTTTAATCTGTTAGGGGACTATGTATTGCCAGGAAATGCTCACAGAATGCTTGTTATTATCCTATTGATAACATGCACAAAATATATCATGTTTCTATACTAACAACATTAAATCTTTTGATATGTTATGCATGTTTTAGGATGTGCATCACTGATTGGACAGAAGACCGGGAAGGTATTGAATGTAAAAATAAAATCAAAAAATTGCAGGACTTGTGATGTTGCCAAAAGAAAAGGTATAGTTCCAAAAGAGCACAAATGCAGCAAAAACCATACAGGCTCATCTAAAGGCATGGAGCCAGCTTTAGTGGTTGATATGATAAAAGATGTAATAAATAAGGGTGTCGATATTAAAGAAATTGCTGGTGATGATGACACTACAGGTTTTCAAAGGGCACAAAACGTTCTTAAAATAAAACTTAAGAAAAGATCGGACAAAAACCATATCAAGAAAAACATATCAAAACAGTTATATGCAATAAAAAAGAATTACAAAGAATTGTCACAAAGGGTCATCAATTACATCATGCAGAATTTTTCATACATGGTTGCCCAAAATAAAAAAAACACAGAAGGTGTAACAACTGGCTTGAAAGCAATGGTAGGACATATTTTTGGTGACCATAGCTTCTGTAATACCAAGTGGTGTGTCTTCCTTGAACACCCTTTGGCAAAATTTAGTAAGTTACCATACGGCAAACCACTTCAAAATCCAGAGCTGAGGAAGGAACTGGATAGAATTTTTATTAAAAAATTATCAATTCAAGCAGAAAAACTTGCAAATCTTGCTAGCACTCAAACAAATGAAAATCTCAACCAAATGTTAGCAACAAAAGCACCTAAATATAAACATTATTCTGCATCTAACAGTCTGAGTTACAGGTTTAGTGCAACAGTGGCACAGAAAAATGAAGGCCACAGATATGTGCATGAGGTAATTAAATGAACTATTTAGAACAACATCTGTAATTCTTTATTAAATTTTTCTAAAGTTGTATCCAGGCTTTGACAGAACCACAACATCACATTCACATAAACATGGTAAACCCAAGGTTTCAGAAATTCATGAAATTTGCTACCCATCAAAATAAATGAATCCTCAATATTATAATATTTTAATAATATTTATGTAGAGTCGGCAAGGTATACAAACAGAGACATATATCGTCTTCAAATTTTAGTCATAACATTTCAGTCAGTGAGTGTGTACAATATTAAGATTAAAGTTGAGAATGGCACATGTATACTGTTGTAATTATTAAATATTTTTTCTGACATGCATTTTAACAGGTTCATGAATCAATGGGGCTCTCACCAGGCAATTTTACCATAAAGCATGCTACCTTCATGGATAAGATCAGAAGAAAGTACAGTAAATTACAGAAGACGAGGAAATATAAAAGGAGAAGAATAGAGCTAAAGTCGGAGAAATGTAACAGCAATGGTATAGCAGAAGTTCTAGAGGGAACAACTTATGAAACCAATATTGGTACATGCATCTTCTTTCTGTTTTTATAGGACCGCAAAAAAATTTTTTTGGTCGTATATTGGTATGACGTTGGCGTCGTCGTCGTTGTCGTTGTTGTCCGGCGTCTTCCTGCGTCGTCCGAAGACACATTGGTTTTCGCACTCTAACTTTAGTTAAAGTGAATCGATCTCTATGAAATTTTACCACAAGGTTGATTTTGGGGGTTATGGTACCAACAGTAAAGGAATTAGGGGCCAAAAAGGGGGCCAAAAATAAGCATTTTTATACGACCGCAAAAAAATTTTGTGGTTGTATATTGGTATGATGTTGGCGTCGTCGTCCGAAGACACATTGGTTTTCGCACTCTAACTTTAGTTTAAGTAAATGGATCTTTTTTGAAATTTGACCATAAGGTTAAATACCACAAAAGGAAGGTTGGGATTGATTTTGGGGGTTATGGTACCAACAGTTAAGGAATTAGGGGCCAAAACGGGGCCAAAAATAAGCATTTTCTAGTTTCCAGACAATAACTGTGGAATGGTGTATAGATCTCTCTGAAATTATACTACAAGTTTCCATACCACAAAGGGATGGTTAGGATTTGCTTTGGGGGGTTATGGCTCAAACCGTTTAGGAATTAGGGGCAAAAAAGGGGGAAAAACAAGGTTGTCCTGGTTAATGGACAAATACTTTAGTACAAAACATAATTTAAAGCAGTGTAAGGGAGATAAATCAAATACATCATTGAAATTATCTCCCTTACACTGCTTTTAAATTATGTATAAAGTAATGGTTAATGAACAATAAAGATAATTTAAAACAGTGTAAGGGAGGTAATCCAAATACAACGTTTTGGTTACTTCCCTTACACTGCTTTTAAATTATGTTTAAAGAAATGCATATTTATAAAGGAAGACCAGTAAAAATATCTGCAAATGTTGCATCTTATTTTTTTACAAAAAAATCCATATGAAAGATTTGACACTATATTTATTAATTCTATTATAAAATAGATTAAGTTAGCACTATGGTAAATTTAAATGGGTAATTATGGTTGCCAACTCCATTGGAAATTTGAATTGAGATTATGACCATATCTTGAGGGAAAGAATTTTTTTGGGGAAAAAAGGGGGGGGGGGGGATAAATTTTTAATTGCACAGTATGGCGCATTAGATTTGTAAAATCTTTGATCACATTTATTTATTTGTTATGCCGAATCCAACAGTGTATTTAGATTTTTATACGACCCCAAAAAAATTTTTGTGGTCGTATATTGGTATGACGTTGGCGTCGTCGTCGTCGTCGTCGTCGTCGTCGTCCGGCGTCGTCGTCCGAATACACATTAGTTTTCGCACTCTAACTTTAGTTTAAGTGAATGGATCTCAATGAAATTTTACCATAAGGTTCAATACCACAAAAGGAAGGTGGGGATTGATTTTGGGGGTTATGGTACTAACAGTTAAGGAATTAGGGGCCAAAAAGGGGCCAAAAATAAGCATTTTTGTAACTTCCAGACATAACTTGTGTGTAAGTATATGGATCTCTCTGACATTGTACCACAAGGTTCCATATCACAAAGGGAATGCTGGGATTGATTTTGGGGGTAATTGCCTCCAAATTTTAGGAATTAGGGGCCAAAAAGGGGCAAAAAACAAGCATTTTTCTAGTTTCATGACAATAACTTGTGTGTAAGTGTATGGATCTCTCTGACATTGTATCACAAGGTTCCATATCACAAAGGGAATACTGGGATTGATTTTTGGGGGTAATTTCCTCCAAATTTTGGGAATTAGGAGCCAAAAAGGGGCAAAAAACAAGCATTTTTCTAGTTTCAGGACAATAACTTGTTTGTAAGTGTATGGATCTTTATGAAATTGTACTGCAAGGTTCCATATCACAAAGGGAAAGCTGGGTTGGAGTTTGGGGGTAATTGCCCTAAACGTTTAGGAATTAGGGGCCAAAAAGGGACAAAAAAACAAGCATTTTTCTAGTTTCAAGACAATAACTTGTGTTCAAGTGAATGGATCTCTCTAAAATTGTACTGCAAGGTACCATACCACAAAGGGAAAGCTGGGATTGAGTGTGGGGGCGATGAATCATAAGGGGGTTCCAAAAATTTGGGGGGGGATTTTTTTTTCCTTTTTTTTCTTTAAAATTTTCCATTTTAAATTGGTTATTTCTGATTTATATATAAAAGCAAATAATAATGATATGGTTTGAATAGCATACATGTGAACCTCCCGACAGGAGTACAATAATCCTGTTTTCAGGAGTCTCCTCCTGACCTCCGGTTGAAGAGGAAAATTATAATCCCGTGTATGAAATTTTTCATGAATGAAAAATTTCTGCCCAACATATCATCTCAGGCATCTGGTGTAACTCACATTACCTGAAGTTATATTTTACCTGTAAATCAATTAACATGCATAATTATATGGCTTCACTTGTCAGCTTGGGTGTCAAACATACTGGTAATCAATGATTTTTTACCTCAGGCTAACTGCCGTTGTGTAACAAAAACTGTGTATTTATTGGGTTACTTCCCTTGATTTATCCTGTTTTAAGTTACTTTCCTTTTAATAATGAAAATTTTTAAAAGAATATAAATAAAATATAAATTGAACAAATAATCATAAAAGGATGGTAAATAAATGATTTTAAATGTCTTAGGACAAATAAAAAAATAATAATTTGAAAATTATTTGAGGATTCTATACTTCCTTTCAAGGCTAAAATTGAAATTTATATATTAACTATGACCCTTGTTTTACAGTTAGAATGATTTTCTGAGTATGCAAACAAAAGCTATTTGCAGATGGTTAAACAAATGTTCTGGTTGCAATAAGTGTTTTATAGAATATGAAGTAAAAAATTTAAAGAACATATTGAAAAAAAAAAAATGTTAGATTGAACATGTAAAATATAAAGATGGAGAAACTTTATAAGTACAAGGGTACTATAAACATAATAAATTGGATGGAAAGTTGAAGAAAACACACTTTAAAAGACCATTTTTACAGCACACGGTTACATTTACGACAAATTTATGTCGATTAAAAACCTCCTGATCTGAGTCCTAATCTCCTGATCTGAGTTTCACAGTCCATCACATGTATGAATAGGTAAATTAAAAAATTATAAGTTCTTAGACCACTTTCATTCTGTGTCAGAAACCTATGCTGTGTCAAATATTTAATTACAATCCAAATTCAGTGCTGTATCAAGCTTGAATGTTGTGTCCATACTTGCCCCAACTGTTCAGGGTTTGACCTCTGCGGTCGTATCAAGCTGCGCCCCAGCGGAGCATTTTATTAATTTTGGGTCCAGTTTTCAAATTGGTCTACATTAAGGTCCAAAGGGTCCAAAATTAAACTTTGTTTGATTTTAGCAAAAATTGAATATATGAGGTTCTTTGATATGCTGAATCTAAACATGTATTTAGATTTTTGATTTTTGGCCCAGTTTTCAAGTTGGTCCAAATTTGGGTCCAAAATTAAACTTTGTTTGATTTCAACAGAAATTGAATATATGGGATTCCTTGATATGCTGAATCTAACCATGTATTTAGATTTTTTATTTGTGGACCCCGTTATCAAATTGGTTCATATTGAGGTCAAAAGGGTCCAAAATTAAACTTTGTTTGATTTCATCTAAAATTGAATTATTGGGGTTCTTTGATATTCCAAATCTAACCGTGTATTTAGATTTTTAATTTTGGGTCCTGTTTTTTAAATTGGTCTACATTAAGGTCCAAAGGGTCGAAAATTAAACTTAATTTGATTTTAACAAAAATTGAATTCTTGGGGTTCTTTGATATGCTGAATCTAAACATGTGTTTAGATTTTTGATTATGGGCCCAGTTTTCAAGTTGGTCCAAGATAGGGTCCAGTATTTAAACTTTGTTTGATTTCAACAAAAATTGAATATATGGGGTTCTTTGATATGCTGAATCTATACATGTATTTAGATTTTTGATTATGGGCCCAGTTTTCAAGTTGGTCCAAATTGGGGTCCAAAATTAAACTTTGTTTGATTTCAACAAAAATTGAATATATGAGGTTCTTTGATATGCTGAATCTAACCATGTATTTAGATTTTTTATTTGTAGGCCCCGCTATCCAATTGGTTCATATTGAGGTCAAAAGGGTCCAAAATTAAACTTTGTTTGATTTCATCAAAAATTGAATTATTGGGGTTCTTTGATATGCCAAATCTAACCGTGTTTTTAGATTTTTAATTTGAGTCCCGTTTTTTAAATTGGTCTTCATTGAGGTCCAAAGGGTCCAAAATTAAACTTAGTTTGATTTTAACAAAAATTGAATTCTTGGGGTTCTTTGATATGCTGAATCTAAACATGTGTTTAGATTTTTGATTATGGGCCCAGTTTTCAAGTTGGTCCAAGTTGGGGTCCAAAATTAAACTTTTTTTGATTTCAACAAAAGTTGAATATATGAGGTTCTTTGATATGCTGAATCTAACCATGAATTTAGATTTTTTATTTGTGGGCCCCGCTATCAAATTGGTTCATATTGAGGTCAAAAGGGTCCAAAATTAAACTTTGTTTGATTTCATCAAAAATTGAATTATTGGGGTTCTTTGACATTCCAAATCTAACCGTGTATTTAGATTTTTAATTTTAAGTCCCGTTTTTTAAATTGGTCTACATTAAGGTCCAAAGGGTCCAAAATTAAACTTAGTTTGATTTTAGCAAAAATTGAATTCTTGGGGTTATTTGATATGCTGAATCTAAACATGTGTTTAGATTTTTGATTATGGGCCCAGTTTTCAAGTTTGTCCAAGTTGGGGTCCAAAATTAAACTTTGTTTGATTTTAACAAAAATTGAATATATGGGGTTCTTTGATATGCTGAATCTAACCATGTATTTTGATTTTGGACATTGGACCATAATAGGTAAATTAAAAAAATTCAAGTTCTTAGACCACATTCTTTCTGTGTCAGAAACCTATGCTGTGTCAAATATTTAATAACAATCCAAATTCAGAGCTGTATCAAGCTTGAATGTTGTGTCCATACTTGCCCCAACTGTTCAGGGTTCGACCTCTGCAGTCGTATCAAGCTGCGCCCCAGCGAAGCATTTTATTGTAACTTCCAGACATAACTTGTGTGTTAGTGTATGGATCTCTCTGACATTGTACCACAAGGTTCCATATCACAAAAGGAATGCTGGGATTGATTTTGGGGGTAATTGCCTCAAAATTTTAGGATTTAGGGGCCAAAAAAGGGGCAAAAAACAAGCATTTTTCTAGTTTCATGACAATAACTTGTGTGTAAGTGTATGGATCTTTCTGAAATTGTACTACAAGGTTCCATATCACAAAGGGAAAGCTGGAATTGAGTTTGGGGTGTAATTGCCCTAAATGTTTAGGAATTTGGGGCCAAAAAACACATTTTTCTAGTTTCCAGACAATAACTTGTGTTCAAGTGTATGGATCTCTCTGAAATTGTACTGCAAGGTACCATACCACAAAGGGAAGGCTGGGATTGAGTTTGGGGGTGATGAATCATAAGGGGGTTCAAAAAATTTGGGGGGGGGGGGATTTTTTTTTTTTTCCTTTTTTTTTTCTTTTAAAATTTTCCATTTTAAGTTGGTTATTTCTGATTTATATTTAAAAGCAAATAATAATGATATGGTAGGAGATACACACCAAACAGGATGTGTAAATTATTATATAATAAGTATTGTGCAATAGCAAGAAATTTTCAATTGCACAGTATTGCACAATAGCAAGAAATCTTCAATTGCACAGTATTGCACAATAACAAGAAATCTTCAATTGCACAGTATTGCGCAATAGCAAGAAGTATCCAATAGCACAATATTGCGCAATGGCAAGAAATTGTCAATTGTACAGTATTGCGCAATAGCAAGAAATATTTAATTGCACAGTATTGTGCAAAAGAAGATACTTCATATAAATTGCTTATTTCTTGACCAATTTCAATGGGGTTTTATTCTTGAATTCTTGGGGTTCTTTAATATGCTGAATCTAACCATGTATTTAGTTTTTGGATTTTGGGCCCCGTTTTTAAATTGGTCCACATTGAGGTCCAAAGGGTCCAAAATTAAACTTTGTTTGATTTCATCAAAAATTGAATTATTGGGGTTCTTTGATATGCCGAATCTAACAGTGTATTTAGATTCTTAATTTTTGGTTCCGTTTTCAAATTGGTCTACATTAAGGTCCAAAGGGTCCAAAATTAAACTTAGTTTGATTTTAACAAAAATTGAATTCTAAGGGTTCTTTGATATGCTGAATCTAAACATGTATTTAGATTTTTGATTATGGGCCCAGTTTTCAAGTTGGTCCAAATCGGGGCCCAAAATTAAACTTTGTTTGATTTCAATAAAAATTAAATATATGGGGTTCTTTGATATGCTGAATCTAACCATGTATTTAGATTTTTGATTTTTGGGCCCCGTTATCAACTTTGTCCACATTGAGGTCAAAAGGGTCCAAAATTAAACTTTGTTTGATTTCATAAAAAATTGAATTCTTGGGGTTCTTTGATATGCTGAATCTAACCATGTATTTAGATTTTGGATATTGGACCATAATAGGTGAATGTCCAATTTAAAATTTTCAAGTTCTTAGACCACATTCATTCTGTGTCAGAAACCTATGCTGTGTCAAATATTTAATCACAATCTAAATGCAAAGCTGTATCAAGCTTGAATGTTGTGTCCATACTTGCCCCAACTGTTCAGGGTTCGACCTCTGCGGTCGTATCAAGCTGCGCCCTGCGGAGCATTTTATTAAATATCATATTTGACACAATTACAATACAGGAGCATGCCACTTTTCATTTAAAGCTCACCTTGCTGGATGCAATGGTGAGGTAATACCATCATTTTGCATCCATAGTCATTTTTTATTCATTCACGTTTCACATTCAGTTTTTCCTTTGATAAGAAACTCATGCCTTACCTATCAACATATTTTAAATCAAATTTTTTCATTCATGTCACAGTTAATCCAAATAAGCCCTAGCAAACTTCTCAAAGCTTCTGGTTATAAGCCAAATATAATTCTAATACAACATTGTTTGCAACAAATATATAACAGTTTATAATTGCCAATGAGACAACTTTCCACAAGTTACAAAATGACATATAATAACTCTTTCTTTAACTATTATCCTCATTAGCACAATTAACTAAAAAAAAATAAACCAAATGTAAAGCAATAATCAAATAACAAGAATAATTATCATGATATAGAGTAATTTCTCGCAATTTGATTACCTGATATTGGTTTAATAAATTTCAGTACAATTTTCTATTACATAAATTGGAATTATCTCCCTTATACCATTGACATAATGAAAAAAAACCAAGAAAAATTAGTGGTTTTAAATTCCTAATACTTATTTTTCAAATTTAAGATTAAATGTCTAAATATATTTCATTGGTATTGTCCAAATAATTGAATATGAATATAATAATATGTAATATAACAAAATCAGGAGAAATTCTTTACACATGTGCAATTGTCCTAATATGGAATTTATTTTGTGAATAAAATTCATATCGGGTTTTGCTTTGCCTCAATGAATATGAATTTTATTCACCTGATAAATTCTTGTATTAGGACAATTACACACTGTGTAACTAATACTATTTTGTAGACATTGAGGATGATATAACTGACCAACTAGAAGAAATTCCAACTTGGAAACAGATAACAGCTGAGGAAAACTTTCCAATTATAGTATTTGATCTTGAAACTACAGGCTTGTGTATGTATTCCTATAGAGAAATTTATGTGTATCTGAGACATAATCAATCAAAATTTATTGGTGTAAACAGCTTCATTTTTACATGAAATTACATTTCTTAAAAATGTATACTTTTGCTGGCTAACAAAAATCACAAAGAATTCCAAAATATCTTTCTTTTCTCCAAAAAAATACAACATTCATAAATGTGTGTGCTTCCCATGACAATGTCACAAGGTCCGGGTACACAGTTATCGTCCTTTGATTTTCGTTGTCCACGAATATAGTCCCTAGTGTGGACAGTGTGTTACTTGTCGATTTTTTTGATACCCCTTCCGAATTTATTTCTCCATGTTTTATGACTCAAATAGTAAGTAGGGGGGTGAAATGACACTGTAAAAAAATTTGGGTCATGAATTTTAAAGTAAAGTAGTGATTTGGTCCAGCTGAAAAATGTTACAAAATTAGCACATCGGAAGCTGTCAAAAGATTTGAAGACCCCCTTAGCATGAAATTGTCCATATTTTGAGTTAGAGCCGATGAAGTTTTCTATAATTTTGATATAATTTGTCCCAAAAGTAGTACAACACACTGTAAAAATATTATTGAGAAAGCGCAGGTGGGATTTTTTTAATTTTCATTTATTGTCTAAAAGAAATGCACTACGAAATAACTGTGTACTCGGACCTAAGAGGTGAAATCAGGAAATATAGAATCTGTACTTTGGCAACTTCCCTGAATGATTTGATGGTGTCAATTTATCAAATAGCATAAAACTAAAGGATTTAAACTTTTATTTGATAGAATTTCTGCAAAAATGACCAATTTTGGCATTTTATGGTCAAAATAAGCATTTCATAGCTTTTTCAATTTTGATGCATAAGTGGCATTCTGACTTTCTATCTGACAGGTTTTTATGTGTCAATATTTGTGTTTCTATGCTTCAATCCAGTTGTATTACTCATTTGTGAACTCTGAATCTACAGAAAAGAAGATTATCTCAGACAATATGCGCAAAATGTGTTGTATATATGATCCACGTCTAACGCCCTGTTTGGATCAAGTTAAATGTGAGGAGCTTGGAACATAAAAGTTGAAGTCCATTATAAAGACCTCATTAAATTTGTATAAAAAGCACTTAACAATGTCTTTTGTACCTGTTTTATGTCTCATAATATCTTTCTTTTCTTCTGTAGGATAGCAAGTGGTTCAAATATAAGCCTGTTGAGACTAAAATTGCATGCATGTTTTTCACTAAAAAGTGAAAAATCTTTGTATCAGACCATACTGTCTGCAAAAAAAGTTGAATGCAAGAGTCTTTTTATGCTCAGATTTATTGTATCATGTCACCTGAGTATAGAAATGATAGAAAAGACACAAAATTTTATTTCATATAGCTTCAATATGCATTTTTAAATGTAAATATGTGATACAGCCTAAATTGACCCTAAATTATTTTCAGTCTTACTTGGCCTAAGACCCTTTTAAACTAATGTGATATGTTATTTGTAAGTTTTCTTTCCATTTAAAGTACATTAAATACATATGTAAGGATTATTTATAACCAAAAAGCTTTACAAATTTAAAATTGCTGGAAAATATTACATCTTCATGTAAGGCCCCCCTTCATTGGAAAACCTCCATTTTTATCCACAGGCTCATATAAATTTGACTTTTTAATAATTATGATAAGTCTGATAAATCAAATGAGTACTCTATTGCTTTTAATACATAATATATTATATATTAAGGCATTTCAAAAGTATTTTTTTGCAATATTTTAATTTTTTAAGCCCCAAATGTTAATAGTTGAAAATTTTCAATTTTAACGTCTAAATTTAACACTCAAAGTTCAATATAGAATTAGTCATATTGTCTATAATATATATCCTATTGCCATGAAACTTTGTAAGCAGTCTTATAATTTAATAAGCTTTAGTCCTACCAAGTTTCATTAAGATTGGTCAACTTTTTCTACCCTATTAGGTCCGGGTACACAGTTATCGTCCTTTGATTTTCGTTGTCCACGAATATAGTGTGGACAGTGTGTTACTTGTCGATTTTTTTGATACCCCTTCCGAATTTATTTCTCCATGTTTTATGACTCAAATAGTAAGTAGGGGGGTGAAATGACACTGTAAAAAAATTTGGGTCATGAATTTTAAAGTAAAGTAGTGATTTGGTCCAGCTGAAAAATGTTAAAAATTAGCACATCGGAAGCTGTCAAAAGATTTGAAGACCCCCTTAGCATGAAATTGTCCATATTTTGAGTTAGAGCCGATGAAGTTTTCTATAATTTTGATATAATTTGTCCCAAAAGTAGTACAACACACTATAAAAATATTATTGAGAAAGCGCAGGTGGGATTTTTTTAATTTTCATTTATTGTCTAAAAGAAATGCACTACGAAATAACTGTGTACTCGGACCACAATGATGCATGGGAAAAGAACAAAATCGTGATATTACTCATTGGGTGGTAGCTTAATAATATAATTACAAGAATTGAATGCTTCTTTTTTGTAATAGTATTGGGTATATTCTCACAATAAAATATTCTAATTATTAATTGATTCCCCAATGAATACTAAATGTGCCTAAGTCATTGCTATTACACAACAATAAAACTCTGATATATACAGAACCATCCTTGGCATTTTCAGTTGTTCCTGTTTTGAAGTTATCATAATGATTATAAAATAAGAAGATGTAGTATGGTTGCCAAATGAGACAATTCTCTACCAGAGACTAAATGGCAAAGAGGTTAACTATAGGTTACCATATAGCCTTTGACAATGATCAATACTCATACCACACAGTCAGGTATGGAAGGCCACAAAATGACAAAACCAGAAAAAAACTAACCACCTGATTTATGTACAAAACAATTACAGAAATACAGAGGTTAATTTTATTTTTTGAAAAATTAACCCTTTTATTTCATAAATTTAAGAATAAATTCATTTACCTGATGTTCCGAAGCTGGAATTGAGTTTTGGGGTAATTGCCCAAAATGTTTAGGAATAAGGGGCCAAAAAGGGGCCAAAAATAAGCATTTTTCTAGTTTCCAGACAATAACTTGTGTTCAGGTGTATGGATCTCTCTGAAATTGTACTGCAAGGTACCATACCACAAAAGGAAGGCTGGGATTGATTTTAGGGGTAATTTCCTCAAAATTTTAGGAATTAGGGGCCATAAAAGGGCAAAAAAACAAGCATTTTTCTACTTTCAGGACAATAACTTGTGTGTAAGTGTATGGATCTTTATGAAATTGTACTGCAAGGTTCCATATCACAAAGGGAAAGCTGGGTTTGAGTTTGGGGGTAATTGCCCTAAACGATTAGGAATTTGGGGCCAAAAAGGGGCCAAAAACAAGCATTTTTCTAGTTTCCAGACAATAACTTGTGTTCAAGTGTATGGATCTCTCTGAAATTGTACTGCAAGGTGCCATACCACAAAGGGAAGGCTGGGATTGAGTTTGGGGGTGATGAATCATATTGGGGTTCAAAAAATTTTGGGGGGATTTTTTTTTCCCTTTTTTTTCTTTAAAATTTTCCATTTTAAATTGGTTATTTCTGATTTATATATAAAAGCAAATAATAATGATATGGTTTGAATAGGTAAATTAAATTTTTTTAAGTTCTTAGACCACTTTCATTCTGTGTCAGAAACCTATGCTGTGTCAAATATTTAATTACAATCCAAATTCAGTGCTGTATCAAGCTTGAATGTTGTGTCCATACTTGCCCCAACTGGTTTTCAGGGTTCGACCTCTGCGGTCGTATCAAGCTGCGCCCCAGCAGAGCATTTTATTAGCTTGTAGTTGGGTGTGAGCTAAGGGTCCATATTAAAGGACGTACTTTGATCTATAATAGTTTACTTTAATAAATTGTGACTTGGATGGACAGTTCACTCATACCTCATCTTCTTATATCTATTGAGTTTGATTAACAGATCATTTTAAAAATTTCAGCTCGTCAGTCAGATATTGTACAGATAGCAGCTTTAACTGAGAATGAAACTTTCTCAGCCTATGTTATGCCATCAAAGAAGATAACACCACAGGCATCTGATATAACAAACAGTGTTCCAGCTTGAATCACAGGGCAGAAGGGTGCTAGTTGTCTGAAAGGGCACTTTAGCGTTATAACCCAGATTTTAAGGGCAATGTTGGACAGTGTATAAATTACCTTGAATATTGCTAGGCTCATCTGGAGAACATTAGTTGTATTTAAACCATATTCAGAAATTAATGTGTTCTTGATGTTGGTTCCAGTAAGAATTTTTTTTCATCAAATTATCATACCATGAAGCAAAGCATATCATTTTGATGTTTATCTAACATACTTGTACATTTGGTATGGAAAATAATCATCAGAAATTTCAATGTTTTATAACTTATACCAAAATAAACAAGTAGTTTTGAAAGATGGAGTTATACATGCAAAATTGAATGTTGATTTTAATTAAATTATCTACATTTAAATTACTTGTTCAAACATATAGTATATATGTTATTGAGAGTTATTTATTATCACTTGAATTGTTACAAAAAAGTATTTTTAAGTGCACACCAAAGTGCTCCTCAGTAAGGAGTTTTATAATTATAACAGGTGAGACAGGAGATGATCATATTTTATATTGATGCAATAATATATTGCAGAAGGTATAAACAGTTACTTTTTTCTCCATCATTGTTAAAAATAAATTTGTTGAGTGCTCCTATGTCAGGAGGATTATAAAATACAAGAAGTATTAAAAACAGGAAGTGAATCTTGTTATGTTCAAAGTACAAATTTCTTTGATTCCTCTTCAAATTTCATACTCATGGTTTTGAAACAAAACATTTTTTACCAATTAAGTCAAAACTATGTATGCCTTTAAAATTGTTAAAAGATTTTATTTTTTATGTTATGTCTACTGAAATAATTTTTTTCAGGTGTACATGCTGTACATAAACATTACAAATGGATAACATGTGGACATTTCATTCTGTATTAAATATCTAGTATTTGTTCAATTATCTTAAATCCACTAATTAGCAGTAAACAATCATTAACAAAGGTGATAAAACTGCCAAAGCACTAGGTATTTAACTTAATCCCATTGTCAGTTAATTAGTGTTACACAATCAGGTAACAATTTTACCGGAAACGCCGGTAGGCATGAAATTTCGAAATTTAATTTTTTTGAAAAGGCAGAGGGGTGCATTCTTTTACTTTGGAGGGCAGAAGGGCGGGGTTAAGGGCACCAAGGGCGGGCCGCCCTTCTATTTAGGGCAGGCGGGAACACTGACAAAACTTGCATTCTTCGATGGGCAAATGTACTATGATGAAGTTCCTGTGGAAAGTTCACCACCATTTGAAGTCTTTACTAATCTTATTGCTTTTTTGTCCAAGTTTCCTTCTAAACCAACACTTGTTGGACACAATATAAAAACGTTTGACTGCCATATACTGTATAATCAATTGAATAAATTGAAGATGTGGGATGAATTTTGCCTGTATTTTAATGGGTTCATTGACACAAGAATATTGTTTAGGAGTGAATATCCAGGTCGTCAAAGTTACAAGCAGTGTGATTTAGTGTCAGATTTTTTAGGGGAAAGTTATGATGCACATAATGCTTTGTATGACTGTAAATCTTTATTTAAACTGGTGCGATCACATGGAAATTTAGCTTCTCATTTCTGTAAGTATACATTTGATGGAATGTACCCAAAATATTGCCAAAATGACTTATCTTTCAAAGCTCTTGTTGAAAATAAAGTAATGTCAAAACAATTAGCCAAAAAGGCAGCTTCAACTGGGTTGTGCAAGAAGCATTTTATTTTGTCAATTCAAAGAAATGGTATTGATGGACTGAGGGCACTTTTGTCTCAAAAAAATAGTTCAGGTATAGTACGTGTTACAACATCAAAATCTATCATTCAGAAGGTGTATGATTTTTTTGTTATATGAAATGAAGAGTAAATTGTTTTAGATTCCATATGAATCTGATTATATATACATTGTAGAATTTAAATGGAACATATTATGGTGAATGCTACTAGAGATTAACAGAAATTTTAATCTACAGACATACTTGCTTCTGTGACCAAGCTTCTATTATATCAATTAGCAATAATTGTTATTATCAAAGAAACCTACTTCTTAGGATGCTAAATCTTTGACCTTATGGAGAATCAGGTCAATATATATAATATAAAGATTTAAATACTACATTGCACCATAAATGTTAAAGTTAATATTTGTTTGTGAGCTAAATTTTTGGATAAGAGATTAGAAAAATTTGACTGGTCCTGTAGTCTACTACGCATACCTTATTTTTTAGCAATTTGATTGATCCGTCCATGCTGAATGTCAGGAAATAGAATTTTAGTAGTAAAATTTTTTATAAAATTTTATAATGTTGTCTATAGTTCTTTAATTGTATGAAGGATTTAAAGTCAAAGATGACATTTTGTTTTACCACAGTAAGAATGATCATATTGTGTACCACACATATGTTGTGTGATCCATATTAGTGAATGTAATTTGTTAGACTTGAAAAAGACCACTTAAACTTATATCTACCTGATATATAGTTTATAACATGTTTATAATTTGTACTGTCATTGTATAATATCACTACTTATTTAAGGATTTGTGAGCTGTTGCCATCAGTTTGTGTCAATTCTTGTCTTCTGTTCACATTTCATATCTTAATTTAGGAGGCAAATTTCAATTAATTAAAAATGGAATATTCTATCTTGTTACCACACTTGTTGGTAAAATTTTATCCAAAATTAACATGATTATTAACGAAATATGTAAAATAGATATTTTTTCAGAATGATACTATTAAATAATGACTTGTGAGAATGATTTGTTATAAAAAAATGTTTTAAAGAAAATTTATAGAAAAATTATATGAGAAAATACATGTTCATGTGAGTATCTGGTTTGTTATTTGACCAAGCTTGTACATGAAGGGTTATGATGTAGTACTGTTCTTGCATATATGTCTGTTAATATGTGCTGGAATTTATTTTGCCTTTTATCATTTTATCAAATAAAGAATTCAAACACTATGCAAAGATCAATAAGAGTTGATGTGGTTTAAATTTTATACAGGTTGCAAATATTTTTCTTTTCATTAACAAGTTTTATCAGATTTATCTTGACTGGTGGTTTTTAAATTTTACTGTTCCTACTGACATTTTTGTTTTCAATATGTAATACAATAAGTGTTTGTAACAACTGTGATAAAAAAAATAATGAAAATTGCAAATGTTAATTTGGATTCAAACATTATATATTCATATATATATATATATATATATATTTACAATATGATACATAATGGACTAAATTACCAGTCTATTAATTAATAAAAATTGCTTATAGTTCATGCTTGTATTTCTTTCTGTATATTGTGCAACAGAATAAGTGCAATATTATATATGTCTTGGATACATAATACAGATCCCTTTCATCAGATTGAGCTCATGTGTTTTCTTCAATTTGTTTTAAATTTGGCATGGATGCAAAGGATAGGGAATAAAAGTCAACAAAGCCATTTGACATCTTTCTTTCTAGCAAACAAATTTTGATTTTAACCTTTTAATCTCTTTTTTACTCAAATAATGAATTTCAATTTATGTGTCTAGTAGAAGCTGCAGTTTACTGATTGACATATAGAGGACCCTTTCAAATTATTGATCAACCTGTAAAAAGAATGTGTGTTCAGCAAAATAAAAAGATGTGGTTCGATTGCCAATGTAACAACTCTCCTTTAGAGAACAAATGACGCAGAAACAGCTATTGGTAACCATCAAGTCTTCAACAATAAGCAAAGCCCATACCACATGGTCAGCCATAAGTCTTTGTTTGCTTTCTTTTGTGAAAATGTTTAAATGTATACATTAATTAAATTTGTATTGTAAAAATAAGAACGTGTGATATCTTTGACAATGAGACAACTATTCAGGCGTAGAAGTCAGCTACTATAGGTCACATTATGGCATTTATCATTAGCAAAATGGCTTGTACTAAAATCTGTAACATGGTAAAAACGGTAAGTTGGTGACTAGTACTCAAAATATGTTTTGGTCAATTGTGCAAAAAGAGATAATAATCCTCAAAATCCACATATTGTACATCAAAATTAGCATTTTCCCTCAAAATACATGATAACGAAAACTGACATGAAAACAAGGTAAAAAGATGACAACTAGAAAACCACTTGCACATTTTTATGAGACACACGGAGAGATTGATGCACGCAGAAAAAAAAGGGGGGTTGGTTGATTTATATGTAGGTAATCACTGAAGCATGACCAGTGCAGACCCCTACTTCTGGATCTTCCACTGCATGCATGCCTCTAGAGCAACTCCACTTTACGGGATCAGAAAGTTAGTTTTTACAACATATTGAAACTTTTTGACATCTGGATATGATTTTGAATGCCTAACCCTACCTGTACGTCATTGTTCAAAATTTGTGATTTTTTTTTAAACCGAGAAGAAGAATCTACAAGATCAAAATAATTGTTGGTGTATAAAACCAAGTTTTGATAACATTTTCTAAATTGTATATAAATTTGGTTGAAATTCAAGTACAAAAATTAGTTTCTCAAAATTTGTGATTTTGTGTTAAAAAAATTGGATTTTACCCAAATTTTGGTCCAGATATCTCAAAATAACTTATAGGCATTCCTTTAATATAATTTTGCAGAGAATAACAGATTGTGAAATCAATTTAAGCAATAAAGACTTATAATTTGTACTACATAAATATGCTCAAATTTACATGTTTCTCTATGTTCTAATTTCCAAGTGCATAAATTGATTTATTTGGTTGCTATGGAGATATCATTGGTTATCATGGATTTTTGTAGTAGAAATCTGTAACACAAAAGTGTTTCAAATAATAATAAGGACCTAGAATTTACCTAATTTAGTTCTATTAGTAATGAGTATTTAAATTAATCTTTTCCCGGGAAATCTGGATACAGTTATCTCCCCTTCCTGAAAATCTGAAAATATTCAAGCAAATGATGAAATATTTCTTTAAAATGCACGGTGACCCTATGTTTTTTTATTATTTTTTTTTTC